TAGCCATGGTTTCATGGTGTCTCTAACTTGAGTACTTAATATCCTTGTAAATACAGAGCCCTCTACAGAAGAGGTGATTATGACAATATAGCAGACCTTTTCTAGAGCTAATTTTGCACAATATCAGCTGTAAGTCTAGATAGTTATTTGTACACACACATGCAGTCGTTTTGTTGATATTAATCAAGTAGTAGTTCATTTTAAATGTGCTTTTAGCAGTACTCCTGGTTTATTTTAAGGGTCTCTCATTATACACTGACATAGAAACAAGCAGACTCATCTGACTTGCTCACAGATGCTTACACGGCCCACTTCCTTGGCTGCAGTGAGTGAATGAATGATCCTTTCTCAAAACGACCCCACGCCTTTGATATCTGGAAGTAAAAAGATTACAGTCCAAGAAGGCAGAATAGAGATAATGATAATATCAGATGGCAACAGGCAGACATGTTTCCGAAAGAAACTGCTGAGAAAGCCCAGAGTTCATCTCTTCCTCGTTAATCTTTTACAACATTAGGCATTTAATTCAACTAACGGAAGCTTTTATTTCGCCCCCCCCGCCGAAACCTGATATGTAATCGTTTTGTAAAAGTCTTGGGTGGCTTCAAGGAAGATGTGGGGAATCGAAAGCTTCTTATACATTTTTATTTTAATATTTAATCAGGATAAAATACCCAGTTTTAGAAAGCCTACGCTCTCGTTCATGAACTCTATAAGATGTTAAAGAAAAGCGTTCGGAGCCAGTGGCCTTGCCATAAAGTCATCGTTCTTTTACAGCCCTCCCCTCCTCATCTTCTTCATCGTAGAACGTGTCACACTCCCCTCTAGAGCTGCACAGATTCTCCTCTGCACACGCAAGGGACACCGTTCTCATAGCCCGCAACGCGAATGGATCGCAAGTCTGCAACACGGCCACCCTGGTGAAGAGCGTGACCTCGTTTTTCCTGCTACTGAGACCGAAACCTGGTGGCATTGCTACTTTTCCTCTCTCTCACTCTCCTTATTAAATCCGGGGCATGTCTTGATGACATACCTTCACAATTCATCCAGAACTCATCCTCTTGTTCTGCTTCCACCTCTGACACTTAACCACTCTGGTGTAGTCCAAACTAGCCATCCCTTACCTGGGCAGCTGAGATACCTACTAACTAGTTTCTCTGCCTCCCCTTGCTCCCCAGAGTCTTGATCACGCAGCGGCCAGCGCGATCTTTCTCAGATGTAAGGGAATGCCCTTCCTCTGTTCTGAACACTCTAAACTTTCCCACTATGACTTCAAGTCAAATCCAGAGTCATTGGCATGGCTTACAGGGAATACATGCTCCCTGTAGTCTGCCTCCACCGCCTTCCATCTCAGACTTTGTCATTTTTATTTACTCTTTCTGTTCTAGTCATAACCTTGTAATTCATAAAAGACACCAAAAGCAATTTAGTTGAGGCCTTTGTAGATGCTGGTCCTACTCAGAGCTATTCTCCAAGTATCCACATGGCAGGCTCTCTTACTGCAGAAAAGTCACCTTATCACGGAAAACTTCTATGACTCTTTCTCTTAAAGAGGTCACCTCTAAAATGTAACCTCTATGAGAGCAGGTCTTTGCTTTCTTCTCTTCTGTAATTCTGGTGCCTACAATAACACAAAGAAAATATTCAATTAATATCTGATGAATGAATGAATTCTTTCTGTCTTACCAAATAACATGGAGAGTATATATGCCTTTTGGGAAAAATAATTTATATATAGTAGACATTCTCAGAAATTTATTTTCTACTTTACATTCCCACATTATATTACAACTCATAATAGAGATATTTATGGGAATAGTAATTTGTCAGACAAAGTATTCAGAAGTCACAATCCCATGAATAAGTGAATTTAAAAAACTGGTAGCAAGTTAAAATGTAAACCTTAGAAGCAGATGATGACTTCTCCCTACCTGTGCTGTTTTCATGTATAGGTAGAGCATCACCCTTATATTTTTGTTTGTATAGTTATTAAGGATTTACTCATTGAAGCCAGGACAAGTCCAGATCATTAAGAAGGATGAAATAATTGAATCTAAGGCTTGAAAGAGTCATTAAAAGTCTACAACTATCTTCCTAAAGGGTTAGCCAATATATGATAGCATTATTTTCAGTGACAGAACACTCTCTATATTCTTAGCCTACCCATTTTGCTTTTTGATGGATTTTTCTTGGGTTAAATGAATCTGCATCAAGATAACATACCTAATGGTCTTAGTTTCTGGAATCCAGAGGAGAAGAAATAAATTAGACAATAAAGAGAAGAGTGAAAAAAGGTGCAGAAAAGGAAACTTTCTACTGGAACAGTAATTGTATCTGGAAGTGAAGAGATATTTATCTGATTTCCATAAACGTAACAAGAAGAATACTACTTCATTTTATGTAGGAATACCCAGAGAAGTTTGTATTGGCTATTAGATCTTTAATAGAGAATGTATCGGTTAGTATTGCCATGGAACAAATAACCCCAAAATGTAGTGGTTTAAAACAACTACATTTCTTATCTCTCACAAGATACCTGTGGATCAGCTTGGTGGTTCCGCTCATCTGGGTTGAACTCTACAGATCTCAACTGGGCTCATGTGTCAGCTGTTAGCCGGTGGGTTGGCTAGAAGCTAGCAGGTCAAGGATGATCTGTGCTGGAAGGAGATTATCTCTCCACATGTCGCTCATATGTCTTCAGCGAAGCAGCAGGGTATGTCCTCACGGCAGTGGCAGGGGACCAAGAAAGGCGGAAATGTGCGAGCACTTTTTCAAGACTGCTTTTTGCTTCACATTTGCTGTTGTCTTCTTTTGCCATGTCACTGAGCCCAGAATCAGATTGGGAGAGGATCACCAAGTGAAAAGGTAAAAGGCGTGGGTACAAGGAGGCTATCGATGAAGGCCATCAGCGCAGTCAGTCCACCACAGATAAGAAGCACCAGAGGAGAGGGTTTGACTTAGAGACAAAATGTAGAGGAATGGAGTGAAGGGAAGGAAAGAGGTGAAGAAAACAAAATCAAATGGAAGATGGCTAGATAAGGGAAGAGGTGAGGAGGAAAGACAGAAAAGGTAGGGTGGATAATCTGAAGAGAGGAGAAAGCTACTATATTGGGATGCCTGCAGGAAGTGAGCCCAAGGGACCTGGAAAACAAACTCTGGTAGAAAAATATAATATCCATAACAACATAATGGGATTTTCCAGTTGATAGCAATAAAAACGTAAGTTCTGCTTTGAGTTTGGGAAGAGAAGAAATATAATCAATTACCACAAAATTATCTGGTAAAATTCTTTACACTGGCAGAGGAAAACCACAGTCGTAGATTTTGAAGCACAAAAGCAAATGACAAGTGCCAGTAGCAAAACTTTTATGTTTCCTTACTCGTAGGCAGGCATCTATTAATATTACCATTTAAAAAGTATTATGACTTTGTCTTATTAGGATGTACAAAATATAAGCTGAATTGGGATTTTTTCCCATCTCTTTGTCTTTTTATCTTTAACTGTAAGTCTGCCTTAAATGTAAGTTACATTTATATTAGTGCTCTTCCACATAAAACTGGCTAATAGTGTAATACCCATTAAGAAAAGGGATTCATATATTGCCACTATGTGGCTTAGTAAATCACTAAGTAAAGTATATCAGAGTTTTATTTGGTCAATGAATTTTTAGGGACAGAAATTGTTGTTTTGTTTTTTGTTGTTGTTGTTTTGTTTGCTTCTGTTGTCCACATATCGGAATACTTCTTAATGCTGGTTAAGAACTGGACATACTTACCCTTGTTTAAGAAAGGACTGGTTTAGTACATGAAGGCAAAATGTCATCTTCCATTTACTTGATGACGTCAGAAATTTCAGAAACATCAAAATGTCCTCTTAATTGGTCAGTTTCAACAAATTAGCTCTTTTACAATTTCATGATGTCGTGGGCAAAAACATGCAGTTTTATCTTCTCTCCAACTTATTTTTCTTCCTTCTTATTGCTATGCTGTTTGTTATAGTTTATACAATAATGTGTGATCTACTGTATTCCTTAAGGAATTACCCACAGATGGCCCACAATCTGTTTATTCTACCTAGAGATTTGTGGGTACATTTATCCTTTCCTTTTTGTTTCTTGTCCTTTCATTTATTGAAGACCGTTTCATTCCCATTTTTTATGTCTGTAAATATGGTAATAAAGATAGTAATTGTATTTCCAATGATTCTGCTAAGTCTAGGAAAAAATAGACTCCAAAATTTAGTCTCATTGGTAACCATTATATCATGTTTAATATATTCTCAATGTGTCCTAATTTTTTAAACTGTAAATATTAGAAATGTCTACATATTTAAATTCTGGTTCCACTGAGGTTCAAATTTAGAAAGTGTGACCCTGAGCTGACATAATAATTCATAAGTTTTCCATATGAATTTCAACCAGAATGGTAAAGTTTGACATACATTAACAATTGCCAAATATCACTATATAGTAATCAACAATGATATCGTTAAAATAGATATTTAGCAGTGCAGCTATTTGTCTTCTCTAGGATTTATATCTATAAGGTGACATGTAAACAAAGAGTTTTTTCAAAACTATGAAAATAAATACATAATTAAGTCTTTTAGGAAACAAATAGTGCAAGAAGAATTTCTGTTCTTGAAACGATATCAGCACTAAATGCATTCGTGGCGTATCTCTGTGCGTGACAAGTTTTCAGCATCCAGCATCAGCTAGATTCTCTGAGAATCTATCGCTTTCAAGTAGCTGTCTGTAGGACCAGGAACTTTCTTGTCGCTTTGACCCATCAAATAGCACAAAATGGATGTTATTTTGGGTAATTATGCCCTTCTTCTCTAATATTCACTTCTCTCTCTCTCTCTCTCTCTCTCTCTCTCTCTCTCATTCTCCATCTTCATCTCCTGACTTTATCCATTAAACCAGGTGATCAGACTTCCCACCCCCACCACTGAATGAAATTGAAATCTAACACATGATAATCTGCTTTTTCTTTTTTAGATTCCTGTCTTGGTCACACAAATAAGTTCGACGAATCATCCAGTGAAAGTTGGGCTGTCTGATGCATTCGTCGTGGTCCACAGGATCCAGCAAATTCCCAGTATGTAGACGAAGGGTAGTCGCAAAGTCTGAGCCTGCTGTGGGGGTAGATTTAAAGGAAATTGATCTGGGAAGACGTAAACTCTTTGAACAATAGAATCACTTAGATAATTGCTGCTTGTTAATTATATTGTTTGGTTTTAACTTTTACTTACGTTTTCTCTCTCTCTGTTACTTTTGGACTAATCATTTAAGTTCAATTAAGTAGCCAAGGCAAGAATGTGTATTTTGGATTCTTTAGTTTACTTAGCTTGGTTGTGCAGATATATTTCTTTTACTAATAAGAAGAACATAAAAGAGAGACAGATTATTGGACTCATAGGTATATGACTTTTTTCTTTGTTTAGTTTGAATACATTTATCAGCTAAAATTGTACCTTTTTATGATTAACGTGTTTGCATAAAACTACTTGAGAGCCTAAAGGAAGATAAAAGGAAAAAGTATGAATTTAGGTAAATAAAAATTTTGGTGGCATTATAACTACCAGAGAAGATATGTATATTCTTTGAAATAATTTTTGTCTATCTAGTCTAGTTTACATATAGTAGAATAAAAACACATGTACTACTTTGGGAAGCTGTTTATCATATTAGGAACTGAAAAATGTAACTGCTGTTTGTAGTAGTCTGATTTTATAGTGCCATTCTTTGAAAGCTTCTGTTATTTAAATCTCTCCTATTTCAAGAATAGTCCTGAGGGATGCTTGGGTGTGTAAGTACTCCAAGTGTTTGTTTGTGTCCTAAATGCGCTTATTTAAAGCAAGAGGCAATAATAAAATACATGTCAAGATTAGGTCATTTCTTTCCCTTTTGTCCAAACTTCTTTTTCTTCTTTTATGATAGTAGTAAACTAATTTATCACATGTATATGCTGTTTGGTCTTGACTTGAGCTAATTCTGTTCAATTATGTCATCTCTAAAATATAGAAAGTATGTGCAGTGGAAATTATTTAGACTTTGCAGAGCAGTGGAGTGGCTGGAAACATAAGGTTATCTTACAACTGTGGTTTCAAACAACGTTCGTATGTGGCAGTTCTGCGTGGGGAAGAATATGAATCATGGTGTTTTCTCCATGTTGGCTAAGAACGTGTGGGAGGTAATATTCAAGGGAACTGTTAAATCAAGGCAGATTTTCCAGACACGAAATCATACTGTGAACAAAGCAGGGATGTATTAGTACGTGGAGGCAACTAAAGACATCTGACAGGACCCTTAGGTAAGAAGCTGAGTCCTAGAAGAGCCAGCATTGATGGTAGAAGAATATTCTCACATTCCTTCTCTCAGAGGTGTGAAATCAAGCATGACTTGAATCAATTATGGCACAAGTAAAAGGAAAAACTAGTTTTAGTTTATTTGGGGGTTATTTTCATTCCCAGAAAGGATTTTATTCGCAGCTTTCTCAGAAGGCACCTTGGTCCACACGGAAGTTCTTATATACTATCATTTGGAGGAAAAGACCCTTCAAAATACAAAAGAAATTTTTTTTACAAATGTATTTTAATATTTTAATATTCAAGTGTTGTGTCAACTTAGACATGATAAAATTGTACTTAAAGTATTAAATTGTCATAAAATGCAAAGTTTGCATCCCTTGCTATATTGTCATAGGGTAACGCTCATGTTTTGGGGGAAAATATCCTTCCCAAATGTAAATGTCATTGAATAAATTGGCAAAATTCATAGGAATTTTGAGAACAGATTATGTCTAAAGTTTGGGACTCAGCATTTATCTTAAAAAGTTACTGAAGCTTCCAGTTCAGGGCAAAGCTTCTCTCAGGCAAGCTAATGCTGGAGAGACATTCACATTTTCTGTTGACCTTCAGCGTTCCATTCTGAGAAAATTAACCAAGGAAAAATGGAAGTTCTGAGTTTCTGAAGCACTCATCTCTGCCATTAGATGGGACCATATTTTAGCAAGAATGTTGGAATCGATATGTTCTACTTAAAAATCTTTTGCAGAACAGAAAAATTTTAATCTCCTTGAAATCTGTTCCCACATTTGTAAAGTGTTACATGAGCTTCTGTATAAGAGATATGATTGCATTGTAGTCTCAGCCAAAAAAAAAAAAAAAAAGACGTACTTATTTACACGAGAGATTAGGCTAACCCAAGATTAGCATAATACAAGTTACCCAAGTATTATTTTTCCTGAGATCTCTATGTTACTCATTTGTGCAATCAGAATTTAGACAAATATTTAAGTCCTTTCCAAAATTCTGTACAGCCCTCGTTATTAGGAGTCATCCTCAGAGGGAATTTAAATCATTCATCTCTGTTACCCATTTTTCTTCTCCTGAGTGAATTTAGGGAAAAACTGATCATTATCCTAAGTAATAGGTGGCTTCATTTCTTCAGATTCCCATGGTGCATTACACAGGACCCTGCTCTCATAAGATCAATTTTCTGTTCTTTTAATCATTTTAGTTACATGAGGTATAGAACCTAGATCCTTGGCTTAATCTAGCCATGGTAACATGGGAATGCGAGCTACAGTCTAGAGAATAATTTTCCCCTGTGGGACCACGGTCGCTACACTATTCTTATCAGATTTGGTGAAGGTTTGGTAAAGCATTCAAAAAGCAAGTTTTATTTATTTATTATGCAGATTTCTCCCCATCCCTTCATCATAACATCAACAACAAAAAACTCATTTTTCAGCTTTTAAAAGCTTCCAAATTGTAATTGATTTCAGTGTAACTTTCAAGCATACTTTATTAAGGTAGGCTTGTCTTTCCTAAAAAGGTCAGGTGATCTGATAGTTTAGAATATCAAAGGGATTTCAGGCATTGTTAGGAAATTAGTAAGTAGTTCTGAGGTTACAAGGAAAATTCCTTTGCTTCTTCAAAAAAAAAAATGAAAATAGTCTATGCCAAAATCAACCCTTATATTTAACGAATAAAATAAAAGGTAAAAATTAGTTTTAAAATTTAGAAACTATAAGGGCTATCATAGTGTGGATACTGGTCATGAGACTTTGAGCATTTTGTTTGATTTCTATAACTTTCTTTAGATGCATATGATCATCTTAGTACCTAAGATGCAATGTATATACAGCATGCAGTACCTGGCACTAAATACGCATTTCTCATCATCATCAACATTATAACTTTAAAAAGACAGCGATACTAAGGCATCTACATCCAGGCCAAGTGCTCATATTGTGAAGCCACGAGATTTCCATTGAAAACACCTGGGTATCCACCCTCTCTCTGAAACTCCTACTTTAGATATCATTTGTTTTGTACCGTCCTGACTATCTAGATGTCTGTGTGTACCTACGTCTCTGCATCACCTTCTGTTTTTCATAAAATATTTTGTGGAACTTTAGAAACAGAAAGAACCACAGAGATCAGCTGATTCAACCTCCACAGCTACAGATAACGAAAAACAGCTTTGCATACGATGACTTTGGTTATATGTTCCAGAAATACGAGTGTAAAAATGTACTTGCGATTATAAGCATAATGCACGTTAGTTCAGAGGAATCTGTAAAATACCTAAAAACACAAAGAAGAGAATTTAAATCGCCTACAAATCTACTGCACAGAGATAACAATGTTTCCTTGTATCTGTATGCAATCTTTTTGTTTATAGTATATATACATACAAACACACACACATTAAGAACATTGACTTTAGGCTATAAATATCTTTACCTCCTGTGTTTTCCGTAATATATACACCACGTTTTATTTTCCATATTGCTAAGTACCTGTCTAAAATGTGGCCATTAATAGCTGCAACTAATTCCTTCGTTTCGTAATTTACGTAAACTGTCTCAGCACTGGTTTGTCATGTAGGTTGCTCTTCATATTATCAGTGAAACGATGCCGAACATCCTTGTTTTTAAATTTTTACACATCTCTGATTCTTAAAAATGAATATGTAGCCATTGAATGTCAGTGGTTTTTTATGTACTTTGACGAACGGTTCTCTGTAAAGGTTGTAACAGTTTGCTCCCGGCCAGCACTGGATTAGACGCCCACCCGTTCCCCAGTGTTCTCTGGCACAATAGTCATGTTTTAAACTTGGCTAATTTGATGAGCAGAACACGATACCTCATTGTTCCTCGAATTTTCTTTTGATTACCAAGAGGTTTTAACACTGTCATCTATTCACTGGCCATATGTAGTTTCCATAATTTCTTGTTAAATAGCTCTATTAAGTCCTTTCTCAGCCTCAGCTTATGTCCCTCCAAATCTTTTTACACAGTATGCAGAGGTCTTCGTGGATAAATGTACAGTTCTTCTTTGTTTCTCTCTCCTCCAGATTGTTTTGCATTTCAGTCTTAATCTCTCAGTACTGACCTTTCCCATCCAACCTCACATCTCCTCCACCCTCTGAGCTTAACGAGCATAACATTTCCAGCAAGAAACCCAGAAAATCCACTCATGCCTGCGGTTCTTTTATTTGGAACCTCAAGGCTATGTCATTTTAGAAATGCGAAAGTTAATTTAGCACACACGTGCAGAATTCTTGTACTAGAAACCAACCTACAAAGCAGCTGGCCTAACTTGACAGTAGTTCTACCACACGTTATGACAATGGCTGTTTCTGAATCCCTGCCTTGGACCACTCCACTTCATCCTCCTCACAAGCGCTGCATTATCCGGTTCTTTCTTAACATCAGTCCTTTTTCCATCGGCATCTGCTGTTTTAAAATTTTTTGGAGTTCATGCTACAATGCGCCTTTGCTGTGTTGGTTACTATCATTCACAGCTCAATAAAAACATTAGCATTTTAAAATTAAAAAACTGACGACCAACTTGGAGAGCAAATGTACTTTTAAAATACCGAGAGGTTCAGTGAACTCTTTGAGTAACGTTGTATATAACTTGCCATATATGGTCTCTGTATAAGGTTACAGACCAGGCAGTATTTTTCAAAGAGCTTGATCAAAATGATGTTTACAGACTGGGGGAAAAAAAAAAAACTCAAACAAAAACAGCGATTTGCTTTTTACTATGCAAAATGTCTTTAGCTTTAATTCTCAAAAAAAATAAATAAATAAATAATAGCATAGAACTGTACCATTCAATAATACTTTCTACACTAATGAAATGTTCTAAATCTGAACTGTCCAGTGTGGTATCACTAATTAAATGTGGCTACTGTTCATGCAAATGTGGCTAGTGAGGTTGGGGAATTGAGTTTTTAATGGGTTTCATTAATTAATTTTAATATAAAGAGGTACATGTAACTAATGATTACCACATTGGACGGGGTGTCAATAAACCATATACATATATTTAAATAAAATATTAAATTTCAAGTATAATATTTACATAAACATAGTTTTTACTTTGTTGCCTTTTAAAGGCCTTAGAATTTTAGATGTGATTAAACAATACATTTTTATATATAAGAATTCCATTATAACTGATTTCCTCCACAGAAAAAACATTTTGTGGTTTTGATTTGGTGGTAGGACACATCTATTACAATTAACTTAACAACTATAATATTAAAAAAAATGTTGACAAGCTATTAAAGAAATAAATAATCTTAGAAAAACTTGATTTTTTTTTCATAATATTTTATATAACCCAATTAAAGCTCTTTCAACGAACTGAGCCTCACCTGTTATTTTCGAAGTTAATGGTCTTTTCATTGGTTTAAGGACAAATCAAGCTACAAAACCTTCAGTTCAGTGTTACCTTACCTTCTCTCTTCTCAAAATGGAAAACACTTCAAAATTATTCATTTTAGAAAAGATAAGATTGCCTTTCTTTACAGCGCAGCTTCACTGAGTGCTCTGGTTCTCAAGAATGCACTAGTTCACGCAAGGCTCAACAAAAGGAAAAGAAATAGATATGATGTTTTCCACATCAAATATCCTCTTATAAAACTCTTCCAAGATAGAAACTATTATGCAAAGTGATTTTATTGTTAAAATACATGCATTTTTAAAATATCCCATTTAATTAACCCTGACTTGCTTTTTAAAAAGAAACAAACAAAATTTAAGAATTTTCCGGATATTAGAAATCACTGATTAGTTTATTTTAACGTACTCGAGTTTCTTTTTTTAGAACTTCTGTGAACAAAAGAGAATTCCTTCAGAGCGTTGTGGTTAAACTATTTCCTTTTATTTCCATTCATTCATTCATTGACTTCTTATCCTATACCAATCTCAGATAAAGTACACTTTTACCAATTTAGAGATATTTCTTTCAATTTATTTAATAATATTTGAATTATTTTATTTCTAATGTAAAATTCTAAAAGTCACACAAGGGACTTTAATACAGCATTAATATTTTAAGACATTTAAACATTAATTTGTTTGAGTTATCTACTGAGTACCTTATTAGGCTAGGATTTATTGATCTAAAGAGGAAAAACCCAACTTAATGGTTTTATGTCCTTTTATTTTATTCAGAATTGTGAATGAAATGCTCACCTTTGTAAAACTTGACTCGGTAGTCGCCTAACTATGAAAGGCATAGGAAAGTAGCCCAAACAATTCTGAACAATAATCTAAACTGAATTTTTCTAGCAAGTTCTATTTGCCTTTTCTGTTTTAAATTATGACCTCAGAGATTAGATTTTTTTGCTTTTCTCTTCTATATTTGCCTTCAAATTTATACTTTCCTTTGCCTTAATTATTTCTTACTTTTTCTCTATTACGTAATGATTATTTCTGTTTTAACTTACACTTCCCCACTACACAGAGATTATTTCTATTTTTAATTAATACTGGTTGCCTACATTTAAAACGCTCACGTGTCAATTTTTCCAGTTGAATTTTGCTATAAAAAGTTTAGTTTCTTGAAAATACATGGCTTTTTCTTCATATAAGTGCCAAATGGGTGATTTAGCACTAAAAGCTTTTCAAAAATTTGGTTTTAAAATAAAAAAAAAAATCTTACTGTATTCCATCCAATTTTAATAAAGTCACGATCTTTTTTCCTCTCAGAAAAAAAAATAATGACATTGCAATTGTACATTACTGAGTATCCCCATAAGTCCCAGGAGTAAAGAGGTATGTTGGCCAATGGGAACCATGATGTTAGACCTACAATCTAGTCTGCCTGTCACACCAGCCCATTGTGACACTACATCGACCATTTACTATCCTGACTCTTCTTGGGCAGCACGATTCCTGAAGGAATTTAGGAAATGCATCTCCTTTAAGCCATTAGTAAATATATGTGGAGGGAGAAGAAAAGTGAGGCTTGCTTTTAGATCAAGTTTCTGATTTTAGATCAAGTAACTCATGAACTCTGGCCATTTAGGTTTTAGCAGTGTCCTGAAACTCTGCAAGCAGAGAGAGAATGGTGAAAGGGAAATTTAAGTGGTTCATACACGTACTTCATAGTCACCTAAAGTTTATGTTGCTTTATCCAATGCTGAATTGCATTATTATTTAATAGAATTAGAATTATAGAAGGAATGAAAGGAAGTTTGAGGCAAAAGGATCTTCTCTTTGTAGATGTTTTATTTAACTACAGCTAGCTAACTCTGTGAATGCATTGCATTTTTGTGTGGAAATCTTATAACTGCTGTAATATAGCACTTTTTTTTTTTTCCTCAAGAGTCTCTTTTTTTTCCTGAGTTTTCATGCTATTTATATTAAAGAGTATTCAATAAATGGTACTGTATGGTGGACTCAGTTGGAACTGGAAAAGAAAGTGAGAAATTTGGGCCAGTCATTAAGCATTGGCAATGCATAAATAAGGAAATGTTAGCAAATCATTTATATGACAATATTGAGAAAATATTAAAATATTTATATAAATATAAGAATCAGCCAATTTAGTAAATTACTCATACATTCTCTATGTGAATGTTAGCTTTTAGGACAGACAAATAAACTACATCATGGTTAATCATACCACAGGGTACTCCTTAAACTGTTTATTTCGGTTAGAGTGAATATTTATTGCTCGGAATTTCCACAAAATTCAACTCAGTGCACTTTGAATCACATCACCTGAAGACTCTGATTACTGAACTTTATTCTCTATGTGTTAGTCTGCTCAAAGTTTTAATTTCTTTTTTTTTCAACTTTTAAAAATCTTTGATAGGCATTAGAGTTGATTTTGGTGTTGTAAAGTTTTAAGAAAACGGTTGAAACTGTATCACTAGTAAGACCGAATGTTTGCTACAACATTATTTTGTCTGACTTTCTAAAAAAGACACCCAAGCTAAATACATTTCTGGAATCAAATGAAAGCTTCTAGAATTGGCAGGAGCTACCAGTAAATAGATTCCTAATTACTTGTCGCTGACAGGGGCAGCTCTGAAATACAACAGAAATGACCATTTGGAAGTTGTCATTAATTGGCAGGTCATCAAATAAAAATTATTCTCATTAATTTTGGTTTTGTTAAATTAATCTCCTCCCAAATGGTTGGAGGTGTGTGAGCAGACGATAAAACTAACGTAGCAAAGATTGTCACTCTCTCTTAACCCCATATGCACAATTCGTAATTAACTGCCAGAGGCTTCGCTGTCATTATGTTAGTAGTTTGAGCTTTTCAAAGTATAATACAAAATGAAAAAGGAAACTAGTATTTTAAGCACCTGCTAATGTGGTAGATACTGTGCAAACTTCAGTATGAAGAAAACTCGAAAATCCCCATCCCTGTGATCTCATGGCAAAGCCATGTCATCATTCATTTCTGAGAACTAAATTGTTCAGCAAAGTACATGGCAAAGCAGTATATAGGAACGCAGCCTATTTAGACAAAGGCAGAAGATGAGTAATCTTTTTATATACCTTAAAAGTTTTTTAAAAAAGAAATGATTCATGTGCCTCATGATGCCTTATTAAATACTACAAAGTCAGCATTTTCTCTGTTTGATCAATTCTACAGTCTGCAAAGTATATAGGCATCTCACACTTACATCAAGAAGAAATTAATTGGATTAGAGTTCTAAACAGTGTTTTCCAATCTGATAAACCCGAAGAGGTATTCATTGAGTGGCTCTAGAACCATTCCTAGCTCCAAAAGAGTTCATTTTGGGCCACTCCCTTCCTTTTTCTCTTCTGGAGCAGAATTTCATGGTGAATAATCGGAAACGAGTGGAGAAAAGTAGAGATACGTGTAGGTTGTAAGTGTATGTTTGACTTCTCTCCTGGATGTGTAGGTATCTACAGTTCCTGATCACTTTCACTAGGAGCTGGCTTACTATCTTCTGGCCACAATATGCCTTATGCCCTAGAGATCATTGTCGGGTCTATTGACGTTAACCCAGATTTAATTTTCTCTAAGATAAGATGGGAGATAAATTCCTAGAAGCCGGATTTCAGGGCCTTAATATGATTTCGGTGAATTTAGATCCATAGAAATTAGATCATAATGTGCAGCTTATAACCTGTCTGATCTATGGTTGAGATATGAAGTTAGACAAAAATTATATCTGACATTAATTGAACACTTGCAATGTGAAAGGGATTGTTCTGAATAATTTGCATTTGTTATCTCCTTTTAATTCTCAAAACAACTTGGTGATATAGGTGCTATTGTTTCTATTCTATAGATGGAGAAACTGAGGTACAGAGAGGCTTTCAAAGGGGCTTGAGGTCACACAGATACCTAGTAGCAAGACTGGGATTTGAACCAGACACATGGTTCAAGAACATGTGTTATTATCCACTATGACACCTGACTTCCCCAAATTGGATACTATGATATTTAAAAAATAGCATAACTTCCCAAATAATTCCTGATAGATATGCTAGTATTCAGGAAATGCAGTCCTTTGGGAAACACATTCCTGTCACTATAAGAATTCAAAGAGCTAAATAAAATGCTGATAACATTCCTTTTCCATTGACATTTACCAAACCTAGGCAGGCACATTAGTTTAACATTCAGGTTCTTTATTAAAAGGGGATTTTAAACCTATTTTATCAACAGTCTTGGTTTGTTATAAAATATGTTTGCTTAGATTTATCTGATTTTAATTATGAAAGTTCTCATCAAAGTGTCTATCTAGCCTATTCCTCAGGGACGCTTCTGGGTTTGCTGATGAATTATTATATTTTCCTGCATGTAGTATAAGTGCTAATTATTAACCTTCCTTAGATGTGATATTGTATATTTAATAAATAGCAATACTGATTTTTTTACTTATATTAAAGAAATCTATTGTAAATCTTTAAAGCAATCATATTCTTATTTTGGCAAAACCAACTTTATATAGGCTGTGAAGAATTTTTAATTGCTACCCATTCCTAAAGGATTCACTGGAATTTTGAAGAAATGATGTCATCTTACCTCTTTGATTTCGTATGTCAAAATCTTTCAAAATATATAAACCTATCAAGAAAACGCCTTAAATATAGTCTGGGTGACAGTGGACTGGAGCCCCACTGGTGAAATAGGATACTAACATTTTCAACTTCATTGATAAAAAGACTTCTGGGTACATAAGTATATGATTGCCAGCTTTTTTATAATCAGTTTCTAAAAAGACATTGCTGTTTTACATCTTGATTTTAAAACCGCACCAGGTGAAAATAGATAC